TTACAGAAGGAAATACAAAAAAACTAAACTTATAGCAAGAAAGTCACAGAAAACAGCAAATATTTACCAAAATGTGAGCAAATACGGACTAAAAATTACATTAAACACGATGGATCTGTTCATGAAATGCAACATATTTAATCTTCTTTGTTGGAAAATAAACACTGAAGTTGATATTTCTGCACATCTTCGTTACAAGACGTCATTCTATAAACTGAACAACTGATTGAATGTTGAGCAGCCGGAGTCGGTTGCATCCGTCCTCCTGCAGCTGCTTCACTCTGCTTTCCTGCCTCCAGATGCGGGAGCTCCACTCTCTGGGCTTCAGAGACGTGTCCCAGTGCGAGGAGGCCCTGCGGCAGAGCGGCGGCGAGGTGAAGGGGGCTCTGTCTCTGCTGCAGCGGCCCGTCCTGGAGCCGTTCCACCAGCGCATCTGGGCCGAGCAGCCGGAGCCGCCCATCGACCCCAAACACCCGGACAAGCAGGTGGGACGGGGCGGCGCCGTCGTGTTTTATGACCTGAACACGACTCTGGGTGTTTATCTGTGTTGCTGTTGCTCCCTCTACAGAGGACGTGCAGGCGTCTGCTGGCGTTGTACGACCTGCCCAGCTGGGGGCGCTGCGAGCTGGTCCTGTCGCTGCTGCAGGAGCCCGGCGTCACCTACTCGCTGGAGGACGTCGTCCAGGCGGTGAAGGAGTCGCACGACAAGGACTTCATCAGGCGCCTCCTCAACAACGAGTGCCCCTGCTGCTTCAGCATCTTCCCTCGAAGCAAAGTCAGTCCACAGCGGCCGCCCTCTGCTTTAAGAAACCGTTAACGTGCGCTCAGCTCTCCATGTTTTAACGTTCTGATGAGGAATTTCAAACTGAATTCACATTTTATACCCAAATCTGAGCCACTGGGCTTCAAGTCGCTGCTGCATTTAACTAGAATGGAAACCTGGAGAAGGCTGAATGAAGGTTTTATTACTTTTTTGTGTATTTTTATAATAACAAGCAGTATTTCCTCGAGTATATTATTCTTTTAAGGAGCCCTGCTTTAGTTGCTCGTTAAGTCATTTGTGGGTCTTTTATCCAGCTCAGTCCAGTGTGTTTTATTTTTTGTAAGAATTTTTTGATCATTTAAAGTTGTTTTATCTGATTTTAAATTTGGACAGTTATATATATTTTTTCCTTTATAAATTTATGATTTTAACATTTATTTGATTTTAGGCTCTTTATTAGGAGATTTTATGGCTTTTGCAGCTACAGATCCAAAAGTTGGATGTTTGACGTCTACACTGCATTCACAAATAACTATAATCTGACGTCTTAATCATAAAAATAACAATGTGCTTTAATGTTTTATCTGTTTATTTTTGTAAACCGAAATTTTAAAATTCATGGATAACAATAATTCTTATATTTTAGCATTAAAAAGATAATTTTGGTCAAAGAGCTTCTACATGCTGCTGCATCAACCATCACAGAAACACAAGAGATTTCTGGTATTTACCAGAAATTTACCAGAAATGTGTAAATCTGTTTAAAAGAAGCAGAAATTCAAAATATTTTTGCTTAAAATTCTGTTCCAATTCAGCCACAAAAATACATTTTGAGTTCACTGTGTAACAAGATAAAAACAAAGCAGCAGTGATCCACACAAACGAGGCTGAAAATGACTTAAAAATATTCTTAAATTAGCGGTTGGTCAGCTTTCTGTCAGTTATTTGCTGATCAGAGATAATATTTATTACAGCAGCTGTTTAACTGACTTTGCTCGTCTGTTGCTGGACTGAATCCAAACAGGACGACGCAGCTGAAGCTCAGAGATCCATGAGGTTTGACAGATAAACTTTATTACGTTCCTCCAGATGCAGTCGCTGACGTCCTGCCAGTGCTCCGTTTGCCACGAGTGCTTCCGGCAGCACTTCACCATCGCCGTCAGAGACAAACACATCCGGGACATGGTGTGTCCCGTGTGCAGCGAGCCGGACATCAACGACCCCGAGCAGCTGGACAGCTACTTCTCCACGCTGGACATACAGGTGAGCCCAGAGGAAACCAGTAGACACAATAAACCTGAGATGAATGAGGGAAACGAGGAGGAAGACGGAGGTTTGGTTTTCCTTTACCAAGCTAAAACCCGTCATCATTAATTAGCATCTGCTTTAATTTGACACAATCCGAGGTTCTGATTGGACTGAATTTTTTAGTTTAGACAATTTTCTTCCACAGATTTTAATCTTTTATGTGATCGCGAAGTCGTTAAATGACAGAAAATACATTAAAAACTGCAGGAGTTTCTTTTTATCTTTATTTAAAGTGACATTGAACTGAGCAAAAGGTAATTTTATTTGATTTTTTTCTGTCNTTGCACGCTTTACTTTCAGCCTTTTTCTTTCGGCTGCTGTTGATGTTTACCAGCCGAGTAAAGAACAAGTAATTCAAAGGCTAGAATCGGATTATGTCGCCGTACGAAGGCCGATAAAACGATAAAGTGGCTTTAAAATAGCTTGTAGAATCTGTTTCTCTTACGCTTGTCAAGACAAGAAACAGGATTTAGACGGCTTCTAAAAACCTCCATAAGAGACAAATCATCGTTTCTGAAATGTTTAATTGGTTGATTAATTTACTTTCTGTCTATGTTCAGAGTTTTGTAATCTCCAGACATCTCACGCCGTTGTTTTCCTTCTCCCAGTGGATCTGTCAGTTCTGCACCTACGTCAACTGCAAGCCGTCGGCGGTTTGCGAGATGTGCAACTTGTCCTGCAAAGACTCGGCCGGAGTTTCTCTGCCTCTGTCGCTGCAGCAGACGCCGACCAGCATCAAGACTCAGCCTCAGCCGGGCGGGAGGCCTCAAGCGAAGCCCCGAGTCAACGTGGAGCTCAGGAGGCAGAACACGATGAGGGAGGACGGACTCACGCTCATCCACCAGATACGAGTACGACACCAGCGTCCTGCAGAGTTTTAATGCTGGTTTCTCCCTTTTTTATGTCGTTTTGTAGAAGAAAAGAGCAAAGAAAACTTGGGCTTTCATTAAACATCAAAAAAAGTCATAATAATCATAATAATTCCCCTCAAAACTTCACAATGTTTCCCCAGGAAGCAGAGAAGCGAGACGTCAGCCCGGAGGAGGTGTACGCCGCCCTGTGCGTGTGCGGCGGCAGCAACGTCAACCCCTGCGACTGGCTGATGTCGGAGCTGCCGCATCTGCTGGACGAGATCTGCGCCATGGCCGCCTCCGTCCAGCTGAACTACAGGACGGGGAACACCGGGAGTTTTCAGGCCGACGTGGAGCCGGACGGAGGCGAGGCGGAGCGGAGCGGGCCGAACGCCGCCGGCGACAGCGTCAAGCTTTCCAGAGCCGAAGCCAAGCTGGCCTGGTTGGCGGCGGGAGGCGACACCGACAGAGCAGTGAGACAGCTGCTGAGGGATCGACAGGTCAAGGTAGGAA